TCCTCTATTTCCTTTGACTTTCCTTTTGTCCCATTATCATGCTCAGTCTTCATTTGGGTTTCAGTAATTCCTCTTGGTTACATTACCCTTGATCACGCCCTACCAGGCCTCCTACACCCACCTCGCCACCGATTTGGATTACTTGTTGTTCCCTTGTCCCTGGGTTTGTTAACACAACTACCTTTACCACCCACCTCCTCCTCTCCCATGTCCCCCGAGAACTGTTGGTCCCATTGTTTTCTCCTCCAGATTGTTCATCCATCCTATCTTGTTTAGACAGACCTGCAGAGATAATAACATGCACAAAAACAAGACAGAGCAAAGCCAAGCAATAATATACAACAAAACAACAACAGCAACAACAAACCAATGACAAAAAAACAAAACAAAACACAACAAGAAAGAAAAGCTTATAGTTAATTCAAGGACTGTTTGTTGGTCTTTAAGAGTGTTTTCCAGTCCAGTCTGTTGGGGCACTATGCCCTGGCCCCAAAGTCCACCTTCAGTATTCCCTTGGGACCTCGCTGCTCCATTCCCTTGCTGTTCTGTTGTGCCCCCCTTAGTGTTTTGTCTCAGTGTGGGGGCGCAGTTCCCACACTGTGTCTCTGGTGTTGTCCCCTGTAGGGCTATGGGTCAGTGAGGGGCATCATATCTCATAGTGGGGCCGGCTACATGGCAACACTTTCAAGTATGTGTATATATATCCCCACAGATACACCTGCACACATGTACATACACCCATATACTTTTCTGTAAACATGTTTACGTACATATCTGCTTATGTTTTTGTGTGGCTACTACTGTTGTGGAATTGCATATGTTACAGTTTTTACCAATAACACCCTATGTTAGTCCGGGCAGACTAGAGAAACAAATCCAGGCAGACTCATATGTGTATAAGAAAGAGATTTATGTATGAGAGCAATTGAACATTGAGAAAACAGCCTAGTCCAGATCAAGTCCTTAAGTCCGATATTAGCCCATATGTCTGATACCAATCTATAAAGCCCTCTTCAGATTCATGAAACATGTGCAATGATTCCGAATGCAAGAAGATCACAGGCCAGTTGTTGGGAAGTCTTGTGGATCCAGTGGTGTTGTAAGCATCTCAGTGCTGACAGGGGCCTCCACATGGTTCCTTCAGGTCCCAGGGCATGGGGTCTATCAGCGTAGTGCCATGTGTCTTGTCAGTAGAACATCTCTCAGGGAGTGAGCAGAGAGAGTGTCTCCCGCCTCCAAGGTGGAAATACAGGAATTCCCAGAATACTCAGGGGAAGGCCAGGCCCACACAGAGGCCTCATTGGCTATGGCCTGATTGACAGACTAGACTCCACCCCTTCACTCTTAATCCTCTTGGGTCCCAAACTGACACCAGATTGTGTAACTACCACACACCCCTTAATTCTTGAGTACCTCTTAGTGTCATCGTCCCCATAAATTGTGTGTACTGTACCTAATTCAGTATTGCCTTTCTTATCACTGGAAACAGAAAGGGTTTACTATCCAGAGAGTTATTTGGTTTGCCTTTCACTTTCCCCTGGGAACCACCAATGAATGTTGGTGTTTGTCTGTAGATTTATTTTTGTCTTTTTACCAAAGTAGGATCGCACAGACCCTTTTACGACTGATTTATTTTTCTAGGCATAATGTCCACCAGTATCATTCATTATATAAGATGTTTTTTGAACTTTGTAACTAGATAGTATTCCATTGTATGTATATACCACATTTTGTTTAACGATTCATCCATTGATAGGCACTTAGGTAATTTCTTTTTGCTATTGGGAAGAATGCTGAAATGAATATTGTTGGTCTTCTTTTTTTATGTTTATATCTTTAGTCTTCCAGGAATTTATTTGGGTTTAAGATGTACAATAATCTTCCAAGTTAATATTTTTTACCAAGCAGCCACTACTTAATGATAATCCATCTCCCCCTGAGTTTCCATTTTTCCCTCTCCATGTTTTTCTGGGCTTTCTCTTCTATTTCAGTGCTCCGTTTGCCTTAGCAAGAGCCAGTTCTTTTAAGTTACTGTGCCTTTGTAATATGTTCTAGTATTGGGAAGAGCCACTTAACAAACTGTTAAAACTCTTTTTCAGAAGATGGAGTGGAAGAGAAAAATGAAGGAACTGCAGGAATCCCACATGACTCAGAAGAGAGAGGTAGTTCTTGTTGGGTGACTGGAGCCCTGGGTTTCCTGTGTCCACCTCTCATAACCGCTGATATGTCCCACCTGCTCCCCTGCTGATACTGTTCCTGGTCGGTGACCCTCTTTGATATCTAGCAGTGCTCCGCTGCTCAGTCAGTAGTTTCCCTCGCTGCTCAGGACCAAGGACCCCCAGGCATTTGCTTCTGAACCGAACACATCGATTGCTCTGTGAGTTCCCCTTTGCACAACAACTCAGGCCCTCCAAACAGGATTGTGCTGTAGGTCTAAGACGAATAGTCTGGCCACTTTCTGTTCAGAGCCTCCTTTGAAATCGAGTACCTGTGGATTTCGATGCTAGTTCAATGGGAGCTCAAATGAAAGGACTTGGGCGCATGGAAACTGGTGAGCAGAAGGCAGCAGTCCTCAGAGCAGAAGCAACAGCTTCTACAAAATGTGTCCCCGAGAGGAGGCAAGCTGAGGAGAGTGTTGGCTAATAGGAGCCACACGCGCTGCCTGGAGAAAGTGGAGGAGGTGAAGATGCTCCCCTTAGAATCTGACGCATGGTAGCTGCTCTCCACTCCAGTACAGGGCCTCACATGGACTTCCATCTGCAGATTTGATTTTATTCAAAATGTTAAGAAAAGCTGACAAAACAAAAAATATTTTCAAAATAGGAAAATACATTCATGTGATTCCCCAAATAGAAGAAATATAAAAAGGTTCACTGAGCAAAGCCTCTAACTGTTCCTAGCGCCCACCTCACAGGTGACCGCTTTTCCTGTTTTCATATGCATTCTTCTAAGGAACTCTGGTGGTGCTCTTATGTTAGCATTGGATTACTAGCTGCAAGGTTAGCAGTTCAAATCCACCAGCTGCTCCACAGGTGAAAGATGAGGCAGCCTGCTCCTGTAAAGATTTACAGTCTTGGAAACCCTATGAAAGGTTCCTATGAGTTGGAATCAATTCAACGAAACAAATTCCCACTACCATTGTCAATTCCAGCGCTTAGAGACCCTGTATGACAGAGTAGAACCGTGCCTGTGAGTTTCTGAGACTAACTCTTAACGGGAACAGAAAGCCATCCGAGTGGCTGGTGGTTTCAAACTGCTGACCCTTTGTTTCTTTGTTTTGGTCCTAGGCATTCTTCTAGATTTTCTTCAGGCAAACACAGAGTTGCATCTTCTCTTTGTTCTTTCACCAGAGGTCCATGTTAGCACCTTTTCTTGACCTCGTCCTTCTAACCTAGCTGCATCCCCTGGGTGATTTTGGAGTGGCCTCAACTTACCTGACTGCTCCGCAGCAGGAGAGCACACCTTTCCTGCCCTGGTCTGAGGAGTTTGTGCCTGGTTTTGACTTCTGTTCAGGCACAATTCCAAATGTCCAAAGACTAGAAGGTAGTTTTGGAAGACAGTCAGTTGTGCAGACCTGAAAATCTGCCCCCCTGCCTCAGGTGAAGCCCCAACATATGTCTTCAGGTGTGGGACCTACAGACCCAGGGTTCTGAGTGGTCCCTGCAGACACCCGGCTGACCACTCTCCTGTGTCCACCAGCTGCAGGAGGAGAATGAGCGGCTCCAGGCCTCTCTGTCCCAGGATCAGAGGAAAGCAGCTGCCCAGGCCCAGCGCCAGATCAGCGCCCTCCGCACCCAGCTCGAGGAGCAGGCCAGACTCATCGCTTCGCAGGAGACAATGGTAGTTGACATCTCTACGCAGTCAGCATTGGGGGCTCCTTGTCCGTTTTCTTGCCAGATTCTCCTTGAATTCTTTTGCGGTCATGTACACTAGAAACTGCCTTCTTCAGTCTAGGACTGCCAGAAGATAAATGGACTGTATCATCAGAGACAAAATTAAGTGTCCAGTTCTTGGTTGGTGGTGAAAAGATGGGGCAGTCTGATTCACAGGCTCAGAAACCCTAGGGAGTAGTTCTACTTTGGTCTAGAGCAGTGGTTCTCAACCTTCTTAATGACATGACCTTTAATACAGTTCCTCATGTGTGGGGACCCTCCAACCATAAAATTATTTTCGTTGCTACTTCATAACTGTAATTTAGCAACTATTATGAATCGGGTGACCCCTGTGAAAGGGCCACGGACCACAGGTTGAGAACCGCTGGTGTATAGGGTCACTAGGAGGAGGAATGGGCTCAGTAGCAGTGGGTTTGAGTTGGGACCTGTTATACCTCATTAGCCCTTACTATAGTCCTGTGAGTGGGTGTCACCTCCTGCCCTGCTCATGAGACAAATGACAAAACTGAGATTGGGAGGTTAAGGGCTCACATTCATACGGGCCACTGCATAAAGGCCAAGGTGAGATGCACCCTTAGCCTGGTCGGTGGGCTGCAAAGCCGGTCCTCCTTGGACCAAGGGATGGCAGACTGCGGCTCGCAAGCCATATTGGGGTCTTTCAGTATGCACATGTGGCTCTGAAGTAAAATTGCCAGGGAAAATAAAACGATCGTAGTTTCATTTGTAAAAGTTTTGAAGGATATTATTCAGATAATGGTGATTTCATTTGCTTGTAAAAATGTATTTATGCCTTGCAAATAATTTTTAAATGGTTGTGAGGGACAGAATTGACTGCACCTAGTCTTAGACTATGTCCTCAGACATGATTTCTTTTTTCTTTTTTTTAAAAAAATCAATTTATTGGGGCGCAATTCATCACAATACATAGATCAATTGTGTAAAGCACATCTATACATTTGTTGCCCTCATTATTCCCAAAATTCGCTTTCCTCTTGGGTTCCCGGAATCGCTCATTTTCCTCCCCTCCCTTCCTCCTCCCCTCTCCCCCATGTACCCTTGATAATTTATAAATTATTATTGTATTTTATATTACACTGTCCGGTGTCTCCCTTCACCCACCCCTCTGCTGCCCATCCCCCAGAGAGGAGGTTATATGTAGCTCCCTATAATCAATTCCCCCTATCTACACCCCCTTTCCCTCCTGGTATCGCCACTGTCACCCCTGGTCCTGAGAGGTTCATCTGTCCTAGATTCCCTGCGTTTCCAATCAGATATGATTTCTTAGTCAATACCCTTTGTTGACAAATTAACAGCCTCTGATACATCAATATAATGACAAGGCATTTACGTACTCAGTGGCCCCTCCTAGAGCCGGCCCCTATCACTCTTGACTTAGCGTACTGACCATTCTCGGCTCAGCCCCAGATCTGTGGGAAAGTTGCTTCTTTCTCTGGGCCCCTCCTGTGGCCACAGAACCTTGGATGGTCGGTTGGACATTACTTACCTCATGGTCCAGACTCTGTGGTTTGCAGCACCCATGGTCACCATCCAGTCTACTCTTCATGACCCTGCACCCCTGGCTTTTCTGTCCTCCCAGCCACACTTCACCCAGTCAACATATCTAGCCCACACTGCGGCTGATTTTCTTGTCATCGTTTGTCCTAAAACGCTGAGCTCACACGGGAGGCTGCCATCTGCGATATCAGGACTTCTGACTGCAGGGATTTTAGTGAGAGCCCTTCAGCTAAGTTAACAGAATCGGTTGATAAAGAGGAATTTTGGGACAAATTCTAGCCTTGGTTTAGTTGCAAAATTATGCTATTGGGAAGCCAATATCTGTTTATTCTGTTTCACCATCCTTAGGGTATTAACTTTTGTTCTTGTGCTTGATCTATATTTTTAAGCTTTTTGGGGGGTCAGTGGGGGTGGGGAGAGGTTACCGAACAGGTCATCAGTGTTCAATGGTTCACACACACTCTGTTCCAGCGCCTCAATTGCAATCCCTTCAGTAGAGCCGACCTTCGCCCTACACTTTCTTTCTCTGTTCATCTGCCTTTCTGAACCTTTCTGAACTTTGTCTTTGGGCAAATGCTTCCCTCTTGCTCTTAAGTGGCCGGTGATTCTAAGATGTGCCTGCCTCCCTAGAGCCCTCGCTCCTCCTTTAGACCTGTCTGCTGAAAATGAGCTACAACTGTGAGTTAGTCCAGACTGGCCAGGTTACGAAGGACCACCTTTTCAGGTGTTCTACTAGAATCTATCTGGCCTGCGAGGCTTACTTCCTTCAAGATCTTCCGTTTCTTTCCACATCGTTCTTCTACCCTGTCCGGCTCCTTCCCAGGCGATCTCTTTCCGAGCAGTCGGTCGTGGTAACGGACACCAGGTAGTTCTTCAGTCTCAGGATTATGGGAGTGATGCTCGCATGCTCCGTGAGGCCCCTTGGATTGACTGTTTCCCCTGCCCTCAGTTTTCATCACTGGGCTTTCCTCTGGACAGGGAGAGACCATGAATTGTACCTTAGATGACAGCTCAGGAGCTTTTTTCAAAACAGTTTTTTTGGCACATGGTCCACATAGCATACAATTCAGTAGTTCAATTATATCAAGAAGAAATGCACAATAATTACACGAGCTTTTAAAATACCAGTTGCTACTCATCGAAGCAGGATGTAGACGTGGACTGTGTTTTCACATGCTTGACTTCTCCTTGTTGCAAAGTGTCGTTTAGCAGCAAGCTTCACAACCGTATTTAATGGAAGAAGTTGATCAAAAGACCCCTTCCCGAGACTTTCCTTTATATCTTACTGGTCAAAACTGTGCTAAACGGACACTCTAGCTGTAAGGAAAGCTGAGAAAGTGAATAATTAGCTTTGTAGTCTTTACTGTAGCATCAGCAAGGAAGGAAACAGTGCGTGTGGATGCTGGACCGGTCAGGCTTCAGTTATGTGACAGAGTAAATTAGGAAAGGGAGCTCCTGCTTAATCAGAAGAAAGAAGATGTATGGGGTCTCCCACGGCGCTCAAGGCTGGGCAGCAGCGAAGTCTGGGAATAAACTGGAACCAGAGGCATGAAGGAGGCTGGAGTTTCCCTCTGCTCGTTCCCTCGGTCCCTCTCTCTCTATTCCTCTGTGCTTCCTTCTTCTACTCTGCAGATTAGCTCCCTCTCCTTATCTGCTCCATGTGGCAAAACAAACAACAAGCCCCAAAAGGCAAAAGAAAAAAGAAAAGAGTACTTGGCTGCTAGCGGCTGTTGAATTTAGATATCACTAGTCTCAGGGTCTTAACTCAAGTGTAGTCTGTCCATGATGGAGGGGGTGTGAGGTCATGTTCGATGCAGCTGCCTCTTTGGCAACCAGGTGGTAGGAGGAAAGAAGGGGAAATTCCTGGAACAGGGAGATTGAGCAACAATTTAGTAATCAGAAGAATCATGCTTAATCAGAAGAAAGAAGATGTATGGGGAAGCACTGAGCTCAGAAAGAGGGGAGCTTCTGCCGTGCCGAGGCTGTTTCCCACGAATATTAGTGGCACTTGTTGTGTCCTAGACAGCATGGCGCTTCCACCCTGAGAGTCACCCCCCCTCTTTGAGAGGGGGGCATTCTTCTCTCTGTGCTGGAGGAAAATGGAGTTGGCCCCCCCTGATTGCCAATGTCTAGCCTCAGTGCTGCCTCTTCTCACACATGGACAGCAGGAGGTGTGTGGAGAGTTTGGAAGGTGTACCCAGAGTTCCTCTGGTTTGCAGTGGGTAGTGTGGACACTGGCTGTCCCTTTGTCTTTGTGCTCGGCAGAGCAGAGTTCCGACAGTGATCCCTGCTGCCTGTAACCTGCTCTGTCCGCCCCTCTCTCTGCAGATCCAGACCTTGTCGCTCAAGAAGCCGGAGGGTAAGTCTGCATCGGAGTTTCTAACAGCCTTGGCAGTTCTCTTGGGTTCTTTCCCCTCTTTTCCTTGGCTAATGGAGGATTGGTGACAGCAGACTCTAGGGCATGTGGTGGCTGACTCCCCAGCTGGGATCGAGGAGGGAGAGAAGACAGTACCTTCTGGGATAGACAAGGCTCCAGCCTGCCTTTGCACTGAAGACCTTGCCCAGGGCCAGCCTTCTCTTGTTGTTAGGGTGCTGGAAAAGACAGGGAGGGGTGAGGATTTGGCCCTGGGTGATTGATAGAGCAGGCTCTTTCTAATTCACCAGGCCTGTGGGTCAGGCTTCAGGGTTGCCCAGAAAGTTGAGCCCACATCTAGGTGGATGGGGCCAGTGTGGCATGTACACTTTCCTCTTCTTGAGTCCTCTCCATCCTGGGGCGGGGAGAGGGGCTCGGACATGGAGGCTCGGGTACCCAAAGGTACACAGTAACCCACAGTGGGCTGTTTCTGCTGGGAGGGTCCTGGCCATCCTCTGATGGAACCTGTTACTCCACACTCCACCCCTAACTCCCCTGTCCTGTCTTTTTTTTTAACCTTTTCTTCCAAACCCACACATCTCTCCCAACCCCTGTCTTGGGACTAGAAATTCAGTCTTACCGCCAGTCCCTTGACCCCCACCTGCCTGAGTGCTACTGAGTCCTCCCTCGTGCTTCTGATCCATCCTGTCATTCATTGACTGTCTCCTGGATTTACTGTGGGGTGGGCGTTATTGCTCTGTTTTCCTAGAGGTAGAAACCGAGGCTTAGAGACGCTCAATAACTTGCCTTCTCATACTCAAGTGCTGAGAGACAGCTGGAATGTGAGCTTGCCTCTCTGCCTCTGATCATCTGCGTCTCCAGTAAAGGTGAAATGCCAGGAGGGGCCGCTCTTTCTGGTGCCCATATTCACGGAGTCTTCTGCACTTAAGTCGGGGATGGGACACAGGGCACTGGAACCATGAACTCTTCCTTATCTTCCCAGGGAACTTCCAAGGGCCAACGGCTGTAGACACAGAAGAAGACTCTCTTGAGGAAGGTGGGACCTCCTTGTCTTACCCACATGCCCAATGCAGCTGATGTCATGGTTTAGCTTGTCTGCACTCTGTTCCTTCTGATGCTTGAAGCGGGCTTGGAGGGAATTAAGGATACAGAATAAATACTTCTTGAGCACCGTGTACGGGTCAGGTATTTTACACACAAGTACTTGCATACAATCTGCTGGTGCGCTGATGGGGAAGGCATGCTCAGAGAGGTTGAGTGACTTATCCAGAGTCACACAGCTAGTAAGGGGAAGGTCTGGGATTCAGAGTGACGTTTGAGTCACAGCCGGTGCCTGTCCCACAGCCTCTCACCCAGTGCTCTTCAGAACTCAGGAAGAGGGGTGGCTGTGTCGGCAGACAAGTGGCTCTTGCTGTTTTATTTCTGTGGCAAGTGTGTTGCAGACAGGTCACACAGGGCTTCGTGAATGTTCAGGGATTCTTCCCTACTCCCTCTTTGGGGCACTGGGTACCTGCTGGTTTTATTCATCCCACTGAATGGCAGATTCTATTCACAGAGTCTCCCTCAGAAGCTGAGAGGGGATGTGAAAACCACAGACATGCTTCCTGAGCACCAGGTGCTGCGGGACAGTCAGGGAAAGATACTCCCATGGAAAGTTCAGAAAGCACTCACAGATCACCCCACTGATTTTTTATATATATATTTTCCCCTTTATATTTTGAGAAGGTTATCCATGCACCTTGGGAAAATGGCAATAGTGTAAAAGCTTGTACAGTGAGAGGCAGGTCTCCCTCCTGCCCCACCTTCCATTTTCCTTTCCAGTGAGCCGTTCCTCTGTTGCCTGCTTCCATGGGGCTCCAGGCTGCTGTGTGTAAACACAGGGACCCTGCCCTCTTCTTTCCCAAATGGGAGCACTCTCCACATACGAGGGGCTTCAGAAAGTTCATGGGGAAAATTCCGTTGTATCTTAATTCCAGTTTTTCCATGAAATTTTGAAGCCTCCTTATATTTTTCTATAGGTTTTTATTTTCTTAACTTATTGATGAAATAATTTCATGTTCCTTTTTATAGAGCTTACTTAATTTTTTCCTGGGGCTTTGAAGTTTTCTGTTGGCTAGATAAGCAACTACTAATTTAGCCAGTCTCCCAGTATCTCTGTGTCCACATACTTATGTCTTTCCAGCTTCAAAGTGCTTCATTTCTTTCCTCCACTGATGACCATTCAGTTCGCGTCGTGCCTCTCGACAGTAAGACTCAAACTATTTTCTATCCTTGTCTCCAGTTTCTCACTTCCCATTGTTTTCTCAAATCTGCTTTGTTATTGTGGTTAGTTTCAGGCCAGTTGATTTTTGAGAACTTATGCATAATACACCCACTCCTCTGTTATTGATGTGGTTAGATTCTGAAGGTCAAGCTGTTATTGGAAAATCAGCAGAAATGGAGAATGTCCACAGCAGATCAAAAAATGGAGGATGACCACATTATCACAGAACTGCCAAATTACATCATTACAAAACTGCCCCACCACTGAGAATCATGACCCAGCCAAGGTGGCACATAACCATCATATCACGGCCAGCATTACTATTGCCTTGTGCTTCAGTGCCTGTTACTACCAGATGTATGTCTTTAATGTGGAAAATGGTGGGGAGTAGATTTGTTTTACTGTTGTTATCAACGCACACTTTGGATGGTGAGATCGTTGATAAGCGAGGAGTAAGCATAGAATGAAATGTTGCCCAGTCCTGTGCCACCTTCATGGCTTTTATTGCGATGTAACTCACATACCACCGACTCCACCCATTTGGCTTGTCTCACTCCATGGTTTTGGTATCTGGAGTCACAGATGTGTGCAGTTGCCACCACAGTCAATTTAGAACTTCTCTCACCTCAAAAAGAAAGCCCCGCACCCTTGAGCTGTCACCTCTATCCTCCCACTTCCCTTCAACCCCACGCACCCTCTAACTCCCCTTCTCTCTCTATAGTTTTCCCTAGTCTGGATAGTTCATATGAATCAAGTTATGCAATATTAAGAGGTTTCCAAAAGTTCATGGGAAAAGGGAAATAAAAGCGATGGGATTTTCTAGTGAACGTTTTGCATTCCCTTGTATGTGGTCTGGTTTCTCTGACCGAGCTCAGTGTTTTTAAGGCTCATCCGTGTCATAGCGTGTATCAATACTTCATTCCTTTTTATGGCTGGGTACCCCTCACCCTGGCCCTTACCTTTAAATGGTAAACTCTTCCCGTGCATTTACCATCCAGTTGGATGATAGCCCCCAAACTTAGAGTTTCCCCCACTTGGGGGAAGGTCTCTAGCAAGTAACACAGGTCCCCAAGTGGGGTGACCCACATCCGAGGAAACTGGGGCTGCAAGTCCCAGAGAGGTTGAAGCTGGAGAGTCGGGAGACCCCAGCGGGGCTCTGTTCTAGTTTCACACACTCATCGCACTGTCCTGTGGGGGCTCATGTCTACGTCTCCCCCCGCAACCCCCAGCCCCACGACCATGGCGTTCACGCTGACCCATGCCCCAAGGCGCCTCTCCCTGCCGTTGACTCAAGTCCGTGACTCACAGCAACGCCCTGTGAGTTTCCACGACTGTAACTGCTTTCGGGAGTAGAAAACCCAGTCTTCTACAGAGATGCTGGTGGGTTTGAACTGCCCAATGTGTAACCATTATACCACCAGGGCTCCTAGCGGGCCTATATAAGGTTTCCGAGGCTGTAAGTCTTTACAGGAGCTGGCGGCCTCATCTTTCTGTCCATCTCCCCTGACAGTGGTGCTCAAAGTTCAGCCCCGACCAGCTGGCCTGGGTATCACAATTCTCAGGCTGATCCACACCAGCGGAATAAAAATCTCGGGGGGTGTGGCCCGTTAACTTAGTTTAACAAGCCCTCCGAGGGATTCTGATCCTCTGTCAGGGTGGGACCCCCTGCTGCACTCTCTAGCACACCTCAGACCCATGACCTCAGGGCATCTGGGGTTGGGGCCAGACAGCTGTAGTATTTAAAGCTCCCCAGGTGATTTCAGTGTGCACCTTGAGGCGGGGCCCAGGGCCATGGGCAAACCTGAGCCATCATCAGAGCTACCTGTAAGGTAGAATGCCGATTGCTAGGCCCTGGTCCTAAAGCACTGGTTCAGCAGCATAAGAGTGGGGCCTGCGAGTCTACACTAGGAGCAAGCTGAGGTGCATCTAGGGCAGTGGTTCTCAACCTGTGGGTCATGACCCCTTTAGGAGTTGAACAACCCTTTCACAAGGGTCGCCCGATTCATAACAGTAGCAAAATTACAGCAATGAAAATAAATTTTATGGTTGAGGGGCCACTACAACATGAGGAACTGCATGGAAGGGTTGCGGCATGAGCAAGGTTGAGAACCACTGGGCTAGGGTGTGGCAGGTACGGCATGTGCCCTGAGCTCCACCTGAGAGGTGCGCCACCAGGCCCTTTCTATTCGACATTGCAGTTTCCATGGACAATTGTGAGGCATCATTCAGAGGATTAAAACCAATGGCCGTGGGCGATGTTTTCCATAGGTATACTCCCGGCAGCAAGGCACTGAATGATGGTGAAGCTCTAGTTCAGAGTTTGGGGAATTGTGGCCATAGAGCAAGTGGGTCTCAGACTCGACTGTTAGTTAGAATCTGAGGCTCAAGTCACAAGCCTGGGAGCCCCGAGTGAACCCACAGCTGGACTTAGCCTAAATCCTGGTGGTCCAGACTGGCGGAGGAAGAGATTTCTGAATAAAGGTGAGGGGTCTCAGACAGTGGCAACCTGGAGCAAGCATGCCTCAGCTTCTGACCCAGGGATGGACACTCAAGCAAAGCTCACAGGCCAGAGACTGAATCCTGGGCCAAGTGAGGGCTGGGTGGGTGCAGAGGATCTTTGGTAATGGAGGTGTCTGTCAGTTGCCCAGGCTGACCTCAGTGATTGACTTGTGTCGCAGAGCGGGAGACTTCCCAAGATGGACAGCAGAGGGTGCTGGCAGCGCTGAGGCTAACCCCCGGCTTGCTAAAACAGTTCCGGCCAGTCCTGGAGGACACCCTGGAAGAGAAACTGGCAAGCATGGGGATCCAGAGGGTAAGTCCCAGGACCGCTCTCCACGGGGCTGGTCCCCACCATTCAGACGCGACGGGCTCTTAGGTGGACAAGCGCTGGGTGGCCTTTACATCAGAAGCTCGTGCATCTTGCGTGTTCTTGTCTCGGCTCCTTGGGTGTCCAGGAGTAGGAACCCAGGCCGCTGCTCCGCATCTCTCAGCGGCAGCTTGCTCTTTCCCTGCCCCTCGTGGCCAACCCGGCCCCTGCCGCCTGACCTCTCGGCACACGCCACTCACTGGCCACTTCCTTTTGCTTCTCTAATTAAATTTCCCTACAAAGGGAACTTCATTAGCTCAGTCGATGGGTGGGTCCCTCTTGGATGAAGTGACCAACTCGGGGCCAGCCATGGCCGCATTGGCTACGGCGACTCTGCTTTGGTGGCTGCGAGCGGGGCAGGCCCTGCCCGGGATGCCTGGGACAGAGGAACATGCCCTCACGCCAGTGTGCTCGCGTTTAACCAGAACATGCATGTTCTCATGAAAGCAATCATGCACTGGTAAGTAAAAATAGGCCTTGTTATTAAAGCAGCTAAGCGTCACATCATTGAAAATTGTCTTCTTATAAAGTAAGATGAGGAGGAAATCTAGATTTAGCACCTAGATTTAATTTAGTAATGATGTTCATGGATTTGTCTTTGGCTGCTTACCCTAAATTTGGACTTATATTCAGACCAGATTAAAACATTTCTTTCTCAACTTGGTTAAATCTTCCTCTTGGATTTGGCTTCCCAAGACCCATGGATGGACAGCTGTCCAAAGTCCAAGCGACTTTCAGTAGGTCTTGGGAGGGTACCTGGCTCTTGTCTTTTGCAGTTTATTTCTTCAGACACTTTCAGCTGTGTCTGCCCCACTGGTGGCACCTGGGGACGCCTACGGGAGCATGCAGTGGGTGTTGGTGGCGGCGGCGACGAAGCAGGGCCCCTCTAAGTGGTTTCTACTGTAAGGTGGACGGGTCGATACAAATACTTTACAGCCCCGGTTTGGGGAGCTCAGGGGCAGGAGAAGAAGGGGAGCCTCACCCTCCAAAGTTGGACGTCTGTCTCTTTGAGGGTGCCAAGGGGGTCTCCGCCCAGACGCTCAGACACCTGGACACGCTCCTCAGAGCCCAGCGGGAGCAGAAGGCTGGAAGGTTTTCTGAGTTCCTGAGCCTAAGGGAAAAGCTCGCCAAGGAAACGACCAGCAGAGTGAAGGAGAGCCAGAAGAAGGGGGCCGTGGGGGCCCAGCCAGATGGCGAGCTCACAGGTGAGCCGGGGAGAGTGCTGGCTGCTTTGGGGGCTGGGCCCTGGGACGGTGTCCAGTTCTCCCCAAGGCTTGTGTGCTTGGGAGGAGAGAGGGATCCCTGCCTCCTTTTAGGAACTTTGCTCTGAAAGTCCAGGCTGCAGGGTCCTCCTAGGTGACCGGGTCCCACCGCTCTCTGTTGGGGCAGCGGAATGAGAGAGGGTGGAGGGGTGAGCCACGTGCTCAGCATCCCTTACTGGAGGGAAACCCAGGGCCACACCGGCGGGGGACTTGCACTGCTGCACGTAGCAGTCTTTGTCTTGGGCTACTTTCCCTGCTCCGACCACACGCCCAGCTCCTCTCCCACAGAGAGCAGCGTCTCGCCATTTCCAGGGCGGTGGGCCCGACATGTCGGTGCCGGGAGGATGGCCCAAGTCCTGGGAGTACTGAGGCTGCGAGTGCAAGCATATACGAGGGGGCTCCCAAAAAGTTCGTGTAAAAATGGAATGAAAAGATAAAAGAAGCTGTCCATACACTTGTTGAAGCCCCCTCATAGAAATCAAATGAACATTTCCTCAGAGCTCAGCTATTCCTGCTCTCGGAGCCGTGGGGAGGGCGTGAGAGGCAGGTCCAGTTCCGTCTCCTCTGACCTCAGGCGTGGGGTCCTGGGCCTGGTCACAGCTGCTGCTTCGCCACTTGTCTCCGCCCCTGTGGTTCTTGTGGAGGACAGACACCTGGGAATGAGGACCACGGAGTGTCAGTCCACCAGGACGTGGGGAGCCCCAGTTTCTAGAGGAGACCCAGATCCACTGTGGGAGAGAGCGGCCTGCCCCTTCAGGCAGGACCACGAGCTGCTGGAGGGAGCTCAGTGCGATTTTCACCTCAGGTCTGGGCAGACTCAACCTGGGCTCTTCCCACAAAGAAATTCTCCAGAAGGTGGTCCACATACCTCCGGGGATATGAGGGAGGATTTCAACTGGGACAGGGACCAATATTTTTTTATCTTTATTTTTCTTCGTGACTTTGGACCTTTATTTTTCTTCATCAGAAAACACATGACTAGCATAGTGATCCTGTGTCTCATAGAAATTACTCCTTGGGAAAATGTAAATAAGGTACCTCATATTTAAAGATGATGTCATTTTATATAAAACTATTATGTCGGTAACTGGCCAGTTGGTATAAGAATGTGTTGCTGTTCTGGGGAACCCTGTCCCATGTAGTTTAAACTTCTCGCCTTGAAATCTCTGAGGTCAGGACAGTTCTTGGTCTTATATGGACACTTCAGGGAGCATTCTTTCATTTCATGGGTCCTTGACTTGGTCACTGACTAGTCTTTCACACTTCAACGCGAGCTTGCATTTCTCTATTCATTTGCTTAAACTTACCTTCATTCACTCACTCATTCAGGCCTGACATGCCGGGACCTTCCTCTCTACTGGGAAACCAGTCAGAACTTTGATGGAGCCAAGCACAGGGTTGGTGGGAGCTGAGAGGAGGGAGGGACCAGGGGCTCGGGCAAGATGAATGGAAATGCCCTGATTCTCAGTTTCCAGGAGAAATGAAAGGATCTTGCTCTTTATAGATTAACCCCCACTCAACCCTTGTTCAGAAAGCAGAGAGGGAGAGGCCCCCGTTTGCCTCGTCTCCCTTAACCTACTGTGTCGACCCTTTCTCAGGCACCCCTGGGGCGTCAGGGGGATGCTGTGCCTTCAGGACCGACTTGTGCTGTTCTGAAGTTCTCTCTCATCAGATGGTGCCACTTCCCTTGTCAGGAGCAAGGCCTTTGAGTAGCAAAAGCAGTGACCAGAACGCTTGCTTCCATAGATGTGTGTGTGTGTGTGTGTGTGTGTGTGTGTGTGTTCAACAAGGCATTTTCCACAGACTCTTGGACAAGTCCGCAATCTTTTGAAACTTTATACAAGCATCTGAAGATGCGCTGAGGTCTGCTTCTGAGTAAACGCATTTTCGGAAGGCAGCATATTCCAAATGTTTTTGACCTTGAACATCAGGAAGAAATGCATTTTCCCGTGGCTGAGTCCACACTGCTGCGTTTTGTGGACTAGCCCTTATTCTGACTCTCTGTAAAACACTGCTCTCCTCTTCCCTTTCCATAGAGTGCCTACCCTGGCTTGAGGCAGTGAGGAATGTAAAGAGAGACTGTGCTTAACCTGGTTGGTCTAGCCGCAGGCAACATTGAGGAGCAGCTATGTGTGGACCTTGAAAGCCATGTGGTTCTCTGGCGACCTCTGGTGGTCGCAGGCCCCTCCTGCACTCCCCACAGTGGCCGCTGCTCTGGAGGGCAGCGAGGGGAGATGGCCTCCTGGGCAAGGGCAGCTTCTAGCATAGCGTGGGGGCAAGCTGCTGGGCTCCCCTGAGCTGGGCTGGCTCCTGTGCGGCTCCTGCTGATGACATGACCCTGGAGCCACCCATCTTGCTCTCCGGGCCTCTCTGGGCTGGGAGGGTAATGAATAAACCGGTTGTGGCTGGTCTGCTTGAGTGACTTGCTCTTTCTGTTTCCCGGCTTGGGCCCTCTTGCTGCATTTAGTTCAGCTTGGGAGTCAGCACAGGTGTGCCCTGAAAGCCATTCCTCTTTATTTCCAGGCAGAAGCCAGCGGAGCCCACTGTTCCCCAGAGAAGCCCAGCCAAAGCCCAGGACCCTGCATGTGGCAACAACATCCAAGCTAGCAGAGCCCACGGGAACCCTGAAGCACCGAGACAGCCGTGGCCCTGGCCTGACCCAGGTGCCCACCCCCACTCCCCACCCCAGAGTGCGGGGCCCTGCCAGCAGCCCTACTTCCCCAGGGCCTGGGCTGAGGTAAGTCCGGAATCTGCCCTCTCTCCATGTCCCTGGTGGCGCTCCTGGCCTCAAACAGCCTGGTTCTGGCCTCTCCACAGGCTTCTACAGCCGGGGCGGGTGGGGGTGGGGGGACACGAGATCCATGAAGTGGGTGCCAGAGTCTGACTAACGCTCCGAAGAAGAGACTGGGGTGTTTGATTCTCAGTGAAGGAGAGAGAGGGAAAAGGAAGGGAGGGGGGAGGAAGGAGAGAGGGTAGGGCAGAAGGGGAAGAGACTGTCCTGAAAGTACCTGTTCACGGTCAAGAAGCAGAGCACACCCTAAGGAAATTCACTTTTCACATGACTGACTGACTGCTTACATTGCAGGAGACTGCGTCCTGTAAGGTCATTTCATTAGCTTGCATTATGGGAAGGGCTTATATTACAGGAGATTAAATGATGGAATATCAACTAGTGTCGGACAAACTACTGGGCTGCAACAGTCTAGCCAAGTTGACATATATAATTAACCATCACACCTTCCCTCCCTTGACCCATGTTCTCCCTACACCTTAGTCACCCCACTGGAAGGGCTGGGTCCCCAGGGAGGCAGGGATGTCCCCTCTGAGCCCCATCTTCTGAAAGGAGAAGCTGGTGTGATGGCCATTCTTCAGATGGCTCCAGGCTGTTGACTGGGCCCAGGTGAGGAGGCAGGGCTGGTCTTGGTAGGCCAAACTAGCTTCACTGAATGGTGAAGTTTGCATCGGGCTTTTCTCTCTGATATGTGTACCCCCGATTCTTCTTCTTCCATTTCATGTCTCAGCACACCCCCATTCAGTTCTGAAGAGGACTCAGAGGGGGACACTGTACAACGCATGGCCCTTCCGCAGCTGAAGGTTCCTTCCGGGATGGGGTCCCGGCCGGAAGATGACTGGGACTGGTCTGACACGGAGAGCTCAGAGGGAAACGCCCAGCCTCCTGCCAAGGGTTCCGGTGGGCTGACCTCCTCGGGTGAGTGCACTGTGGCGCTGGGCCAGTGCATCCCCAGCCCGGGGTCCGCAGGCTCAGGGAACAGCCTTCACCATCCTTTGAGCATTCTGATTTGGCATCGTTCTCTTTTGATTTGGAGAGAATGCTCCTCTTTGCCATCAGATATCAGGAGCGCTGGTGGCACAGAGGTTAAGCACTCAGCTGCTGATCCACACGTAAGCACTTTGAATGCATCTGCTGCCCCGTGGGAGAAAGATGGGGCAATCTGCTTCCTAAAAGGCTCCCCTCCCCCACAAAGTAACAAAAACCAAACAAACCCCGAACGCAGTGCCATCGTGTCAGTTCTGACTCACAGTGACCCCCAGGACAGGGTAGAACTGCTCCTGGGTGTTTCCGAGACTGTAACTCTTTACAGGAGTAGAAAGCCCCATCTTTCTTCCTTGGAGCGCCTGGTGGTTTCTAACTGCTGACTTAGCACTTGGCAACCCAGTGCATTGACCACTGTGGCACCAGGGCTCCTCTGTATGCAGCTTCAGCTGGATTACAGCCTCGGAATCCTCAGGGGCAGTTCTACTCTGCTTGGTAGGTTGCCATGAGCCAGAATCAACTAGATGGCGGTGACCATTTGTTTTTTATAAGCCATCCACTGTTTTCCTGGAATAGCAGAGGTATTAGGGGACAGCATTTGAGTGAGGGTTATTTTTGTTCCTGTGCTTTGTCATTGCACTGGCCAACTGTTGGAAGTTGCAAAGAGGTCCCTTACTCTCTTCTCCTCCAAGTCCTTGGCAATAGGGAATAAACACTAGGCCAGAAACGGTCAGATTCTTGCTCTAGTAACGGAGAAGCCGCTGTAATGCAAAGGCATCGTCTTTGGTGAAGGATAGACAGGAGGAAACTGTGTCCTGAAGCCCCGCCCTCCCTAAACTCAGACCCTGACTGTACTTGTGCTCAGGCTGAGGTGGCAAAGCCCGGCGATCTCTTTCTGAAAGGCTAGCCACGGACACCCTCTGACACCCTGGTTTGTGGTGGCTCGGGGGTTGCTTTCGGGTCGAATGGATTGATGGCACCTGGTTTGAGTTACTGATTTTCTGAGCAAGCCTCTTCCTTTGCGTGTGTCCGTCCTTTGCTCCTCACTGCCCCCTGTGGCGAGTGTGTACCACTTAACACCCTGCCGTGGGAGGAACGACACCTCCCAGACACCCCGTGACTTGTTCCAGCTCACAGGACAAGTGCCCGGCACACCGATGTGATTCTGCAGTAAGCGTTTGAAGGGACTATGTTGGCGTCGTCTTTGTTTTCACTTGTTAAAAAAATGTTGGCCTATAGGCACATTCCCAGTTTTCAGAACATGGGTATGGTCCTTCATGCTGCGTAGGCTCACTAACTTTAGCTGGGTGGTTGAGCTCACCACGGTAAGTGGAAACTTAGGTTACAGCCTTAATTAGACACGCACCATTTTGACAAATAGAGCAGAGGTAGCAGAAATGTGCCTAGTTGAACAGATGTAATGGTGGGTGGCAGGTGAATTTTCCCAGCTGGCCTTGAGATCTGGAGGGTGGCAGCCACAGAAGGTCGCAGACTGCACGTTCTCCACTCGGGAGACTTGGGGCCACAGCGGTCCTTGTATGATTATAGGAAAGTTGTTCACCCTTGTAAGCAGAGCGACTGTGTTAGTTTCCTCAAGCTGCTGTAGATCGCACAGCACCCCAAACTCGGGGGCTTGAAACAGTAGAGATGTATTCTCTCTCGGCTCTGGATGCTGGAAGCTGGATTCAGGCTGGTGGCAGGGTCATGCTCTCTCGAGGGAGCTTCTTTCTCCCATGTTCCTTTCAGCTCCAGGTGGTTCTGTGAACTCCTGGTTTGTGGCCACCTACTTCCAGTCTCTGCTTCTGTCCCCTTCCCTGTGTGGCTTTTCTTATAAGGGCACCAGCTGGGGAGACTGGCCTGCCCCAATGACCTCAGCGGAACTGACTACATCTGCACAGACCCTGTCCCCACCGAGGCCTCACCCTGAGGTTCCTGGGATTAGGACTTGAACATGTCCTCTGGGGGACACAATTCAAACCCTAGCATAGTCGGCCTGTCAACGAAAACGGTGTCATCGAGACTTCAGGTACATGTGTGGGAAATATCCATTCCATTTGCCGTTTTCTGTCTCACAGTGATTAGTTGAGAGTAATTTTCTTATAAAACTTAGCTGGGCCAATCTAGCTCAGAAGCAACAAAGCCCACATGGAAGAAGCACACCAGCCTGTGCGATCACGAGGTGTCAAAGGGATCAGGTACCAGGCATCATCAGAACAAAAAATCTTACCATAGTGAATGAGGAGGAGTGTGGAGTGGAGACCCAAAACCCATCTGTAGGCCACTAGAGATCCCCTTGCAGAGGGGTCTTGGGGAGGAGACGAGCCAGTCAGTGTGCGATGTAGCAACGATGAAAAATACAACTTTCCTCTAGTTCCTAAATGACTCCTCCGCCCCCCACTATCATGATCTGAATTCTACCTTGCAAGTCTGGCTAGACCAGAGGATGTACACTGGTACAGATAGGAACTGGAAACACAGGGAATCCAGGGCGGATGATCCCTACAGGACCAGTGGTGTGAGTGGCGATACTGGGAGCGTAGAGGGAGAGTGGGTTGGGAAGAGGGAACCGATGACAAGGATCTACATGTGACCTCCTCCCTGGGGGACGGACAACAGAAAAGTGGGTGAAAGGAGATGTTGGACAGGGCAAGATAGGACAAAATAATTTATAAATTATTAAGGGCTCATGAGGGAGGGGGGAGGGGGAGGGAGGGGAAAAATGAGGAGCTGATGCCAGGGGCTTAAGTGGAGAGGAAATGTTTTGAGAATGATGAGGGCAATGAATGTACAAATGTGCTTTACACAATGGATGGATGTATGGATTGTGATAAGAATGTACGAGCCCCCAGTAAAATGATTTAAAGGAAACAAAAACAAATAAACAGCTGGGCCGGCTACAATTTTTTCAAAGTTTTCGTGGACTGTAGCTTCCGGCTTCAGTTTCTAGCCAAGGCTTATTTCAAGGACGTGGAACGGATGGTTTGGGGTTTCCAACGTTACGAAGTGGAAGCTCTGCGATTTAAGCCTCGGCCAGTGTAATCTATACAATCCATTCTCTTAATGATCTTAGTGGTGCTTCCCTATATCCACAGTATAACCCTAGCCTTTCAGTCTACCAGAGGCCACCAGATCTGCATCTCTGGAGAGTTGCAGAGGTCTGCCAGATGGGGTGATGGGTAGGGAAGGACACAACTGGGAGCCAGAAGTTCTCAGATACCTGTTGGCTTGTTTGCCCTTCAGCAAGGGCCCTTGCTTTCCTTGATGAAAAACGAGGTCTTTGAACAAGAAGATTGAGATTTGCAGAGGGAGTGAGCAACACAGTGCCGACTGCGGTGTTTTCAGTTGCTATCAATCGGATTCAATTGGTGGTGACCGTATGACATCAGATGGATCATTGTGTGGTCCTGCCCCATCCTCACGATTGTCGGTGCCTTTGAATCTGTGGTTGCAGCTGTGGTGTCTATTCCATGGAGGCTTTCCCTGGTTTCTGCTGAACTGCTACTTGATGAAGCTCATAGCAAGCCCTTGACAAGCATTTCTTACGGGAGTAAAAGGCCTGGGGCTGTTGCAGCTCTGAGAGTCAGCCCCTCAGACATTTGACTCCTGGAAGGTTGCTGTTAATTCCCTGCTGGTGGAGCATTCCTGGGTGTGGACGCTGTGGTCTACCACATCACCAGGGGCCCCCTGATCATCCACATCGCTGCTCAGTCTCTCTTCCCGCACAGTTCTCTGGAGAGCCTTTGCCCTGCCTGCAGCCCTGTGTGCTGATTTACATCTGTGATGATGCTTCTTGTTTCTGTGTGAAGCCATTGAAGGAGGCATGTTGTCCGTCGTGTCTCCAACAAAGCCGGGGTCCCTCCCTTCCTGCCGAATGGGAAGAGCAACTTCCTAAGGCTCCAGCACTAGCCCGTGGTTCATTTGACACAGTGACATTTTCAGACTATCCAGAACTGCTTTGCACCAAACTCCTGTTGGCCTGTGCCTTAAAAAAAAAATTATTCTATTGGGGACTCGTACAACTCTTATCACAATCCATCCATCCATCCATCCATTGTGTCAAGCACTTTTGTACATTTGTTGCCATCATCATTCTCAAAACATTTGCTTTCTACTTGAGCCCTTGGTATCAGCTCCTCATTTTCCCCTCTCCCTCCCCCCTCCCCCCCCACCATGAACCCTTGATAATTTATAAATTATTATTATTTTGTCAAAATGTCACCATCCGACATCTCCCTTCACCTACTTCTACGCCGTCCGTCCCCCAGGGAGGATGTTCTATGTAGATCCTTGTGATCAGTTCCCCCTTTACACTCCACCTTCTGTCCACCCTCCTGGTGTCGCCACTCTCAGCACTGGTCCTGAAGGGATCATCTGTGCTGGATTCCCTGTGTTTCCCGTTCCTGTCTGTACCAGTGTACATCCTCCGGTCCAGCCGGATTTGTGAGGTAGAATTGGGATCATGATAGTGGGGGAGAGGAAGCATTCAAGAATTAGAGGAAAACACCAACATGTGTGATCATGAAGGGCCAAAGGGACCAGGCTTTAAACACCAAAGGTGGTGGTGGGGATCATATCCTCGTCAATGAGGGTGGCACGTGATGGAGACCCAATGCCCATCTCTAGACAACTGGACATACCTTGCAGAGGGGTAGTGGAGAGATGAGTCACTTAGGGTACAGTATAGCAATAATGAAACCCACAACCTTCCTCTAGTTCTTAAATGCTTCCTCCCCCCAACTACCATGACCCCAATTTTGCCTTGCAGTCCTGGTTAGACCAGATGATGCACAGCAGTACAGATGGGAATTGGAAACGCAGGGAATCTAGGACAGATGAACCTCTCAGGACCAGGGGTGACAGTGGTGATACCAGGAGGGAAAGGGGGTGTAGAAAGGGGGAATTGATCACAGGGAGCTACATATAACCTCCTCTCTGGGGGACGGGCAGCAGAGGGGTGGGTGAAGGGAGACGCCGGACAGTGTAATATAAGATACAATAATAATTTATAAATTATTAAGGGTGCATGTGGGAGAGGGGAGGAGGAAGGGAAGGGGAGGGGGGAAAAAAGGAAAATGAGCTAATTCCAGGAACCCAAGAGGCAAGCGAATTTTGGGAATAATGAGGGCAACAAATGTATAGATGTGTTTTATACAATTGATCTATGTATTGTGATGAATTGTATGAGCCCCAATAAATTGATTAAAAAAAAAAAGAATATTAGAGGAAAGTTGTATGTTTCATCATTGCTACCCTGCACCCTGACTGGCTCCTCTCCTCCCCACAGCCCTTCTGCAAGGGGCTGGCCTTCATGGCCTTTCTTCTTCGGAGTCACCCCCACCTTCTTCCTCCTGACCCTTCTCCATGCTCTCTATATCCACACCAGAGCCTTGACCCGATCCATGTGGATGAAGCCATCATTCTCCAGCTTTTCCAGCTGACGCAGCCACTTGTTGATTTTCCAGGAACACTGGTACAGTCGTTGGTCAAGAACTTGGAGAAGCAGCTTGAGACTCCAGCCAAGAAGCCAGCTGGGGGCGTGAATCTGTTCTTGTTGCCTAACGCAGGGCCACAGAGAGCCACCACGTCCGCACGGAAGCCTCAGGTAGGGATAGGAGGCTTGGGTGCACCCCTCCATTCTGCTTTCGATTTGGGGCTGGGACAAGGAACCGTTCATTTTCTTCTCTGTCCCTGCTGTAGCTTCCGGAAGATGAAAGTGACTTGGAGATCTCTTCCCTGGAGGATCTCTCCCAGGACCTGGGTCAGGAGAAGCCCAAACCCTTGTCTCGCTCACAACTCCCAACGAAGTTTGGTGCCAGCCCTTGGAGCTCCAGCCAATCCAGGGTCCCTGGCTGGTGATCTTCCCACAGAGACCTGCCTTGCCACCTTGCTGGGACTAGCTCCGGTCACAGCCCATGGAAGGGGCTGCTGGGCATCTTCATCGCTAACCAAGGCGCTTTCTCCCTTTGGAGGGAAATAGAACAGGAGGCATATGCGTATGGTTCCTTCTGTCCCCACTGATGAGGGCCCCTGTCCCAGAGCACCAGGGGTGCCTAACTAGGTGCCTCTGGGTCCCAAGGCTTGAGAAAGGATTATAATAGGACTTCCAAGCCTTTCAGTCCTTCACATTCATGTCCACAGCAGACTGAAAGGAGGCGCCGTGCTGTCAATTTCTGAGCTTTTTGTAAACCTGCAGGAACGCTGTGGAGATAGGTGCTTTTGGGGACAGATGCCTCCATCAGTCATTCAATAGTTTATTGAGTGCCTGCTCTGTGCCAGGCCGTCTACCGTCTCCTGACTAAGTGGGGACGTGGAAGCAGAGCTGGGTGGTGCAGATAGTCTGTAGTTAATGACAGTAAACCAAAAACCCATCCATGGTTGAGTCAGTGCCTGCACCTGGCGACCTCCCATGTTACCTGAGTAGCACTGTTCCTCGGGGTTTCCTCGGCCTTAGTCTTATGGAAGCATATCCCCAGACCTTCCTCTTGCGGCATGGTTGGTCCAAACCATCCACCGTGAGGCTGGTAGTTGAGTGCACACTATCTGTCTCACGCGCCAGTGGTGGCGAAGTGTCATGAAGTTGAATGAAAGAGACCAGGGTGCTACAGGGACGTAGAAGGGATCACCCCGTCCAGCCTGCATGACTTTGGAGAGCTTCCGGAGGAGTGATGTCTGGAAGGGCTTGTTTATGGGTACAGAGGATCACCTGTCTAATAGACCCCAAAGACCACACATTTCATATTTAAAACCTTTAAAATCAGGCTGCATAAGTAACTTGTGTATTTTTTATCAGGAAAGACGAATTTATAATGTATAAGCACTTGAATACAGTGTGATGTTTGTAACTCTGTGGTATGTCGTCATTATTTTTGGAGCTTTGGAAGGAAAAGAAAAGGAGCTAACCAGAACCTCAGCTGTGTCCATCAGTCTGGGTTTTTTGGAGTTAGGACCGCAAAAGGCTGTGGGGACCGTGACACCCGTGAAAGGCAACGGTGGGGGAAGAATGTTGGCCAGGGCGAGAGAGCCTCAGCCTGCCAAGCAGATAGAACCACTGCGGGAGGGCAGAGGAGGCAGCCGGACGTGCAGGGAGAGCCCAGAGTGCGATCCGGGCCTGACAGCCGCCTGGAGTCCAGTGAGGAGCTCCCAGGCAGGAAGTGCCCACCAGGGAGCTGACCACATGGCTGGGCCCTTGTACCCGCTCCTAAATCAGGCATTGCCTGGACTGCCCAGGCTGAGAGGGGCCTGAACCTGAGGTGAATCTTATTAGCCAACTACACTCCTCCTGGTTAAACAGCAAGCTCTTTCCTGAAAAAGTCCTATCCGTCACAGCAATATGCACATTTTCAGAAAAACTTAATTTTTCAAAAACGATTTTATTGTGAATTGATTGGAGTTTTATAGAGCATGTCAACAGTTTTACATTCAACTATACTTCTCACCAAAAAAGTCACTGCCATTGAGTCAATGCTGACTCATAACAGCATTATAGGACAGGGTACAGCTCTCCCTGTGGGTTTCTGAGACTGCAATTCTTTATGGCAGTAGAAAGCCCCACCTTTCTCTCAAAACCATTCTTATATTTTCCATATCACTGATTGCAGTCCTTGCAACCAACGTAGCATCACGTATCCCACTTTCTTCCTGTTTCCTTTTTCCATTCCTCTTTCTTTCCTACCCCTTCTGAGCTCTGCCCTTGGGTAGACCTCACCTCTTTGAGCTCAAATGGCTGATTCTTTAACGGTGTGCATTCCTCAGTAGGGCTGCTGTTCCCCTTATCGGCCTGGCTATTATTTGGTTGGAAATTGGGTCCTGGGGAGAATTCACTTCCAGATTTGACAGGTGACTAAGGCCCATCGTCTCAGGGGCTCCCCCAATCTCTCTGTGTACAGCCAGTAATGAGTGGATTTCTTTTTCTTGCTTGGTGTGCGATTCTTTTCAGAACAGTTGGCGATGGTAGCTTGTCTCAGTCATGGTCATGGTCCGTTAGTTTATGGGACAATCGTTTTTATATAGCTTCCATTTTCATTACTTTTGACTTCTCTGGTCAGAGGGACTAATACTCGCACCTTAGATGGCCTCTCACAAGCTTTTGAGCTGCAGCTGTTCACCAACGCAGGATGCTAAGCATGGTCTTTGTAGACTGTGTTATGCCAGACTGTGGCCACGGTGCTTGATTACGTCTAAGACGTTCTTGGAACTCTGCCCCTTGATGCTCCACCACACCTATGACTGTGACAAAGATACATACCTCTGTACAAATATTCTCTCTCAGACCACATATATTTATGAGTATACGCTCACGTCCCTTGATCACCATTACTGCGAGAGTGTATATAAAAGAGTATTAACTTCTGTTGCCTCTGGCATTCCCCTGTCTCCATTATTTTTTGCCAACTTCCCGATGATGGTGTATTGGCTTACCTTTCAAACAATTTAAGTTTACTTTACTTTCTCTCCATTTGGAAGTCCTGTAACTCCTTTTTTACTTTGTAATGGTCTTTGCTTCACATTGCTGTATCTGGTTCCCTATTTTTGATCTTATATGATTGTCTTACTCTAGATACCTCAGTCTCTGGGTTTAGGTACTTCTGGGTATTGCTGTCATGTCTGTTAACCTCACGTTGTTGTCTGCTGTTGGTGTTCCATCTGAAGAGCACCCCTTGACATTTCTTGTAAGGTTGGTCTGGTTTTTAACAAATTCCTTTCTGTTTATCTAGATATGTCCGATTTCATCCTTATATTTGAGAGA